AACTCGGTTCTTTATTATAGGCAATGGGGGAGAAAACTACTACACCTAAAAGAATAAAAGATGAAAAAGTTGTTTTATTCCGTTGAGTATGTAAATATGTATATATATATATATATATATATATATATATATATATATATATATATATATATATTTATAAAATTAAAAGGATAAGAGATAAAAGAAATAAATTTAATCTATTAAAAGTATTCTACAAAAATTACTGAACAATTTATATAAAAGTTTTAGAGAATAACAACGCTGCTATACACTACTGTTATATACACATATATACTATGTATGTATATGAATGCATAAACAGTTACAACAATGCGTGTACCCAGCATTTTAGAACTATCATTCAAATAAATAATTCATATGTATGTATGTATTTATGTATGTTTGTGAAAGAAAAATTTAAGGACAACATTACAAACAAAAACTTATTTAAAATATAATTACACATTACGTACATCTGTATGTATGTTTTAGCATAACCACATAAAGACTATAAGTGAAGTATGTATTAAATGGTAGAAGACTTTTTTTTCTCGAAAAATAATTAATAATAAATATTTGTTTTTGTGATTCAGAGAAGTTATTAACTTATTTAATGAAGATGATTTGTAGTCAAGTTGAAAGATGATAAATATTAAAGTCGTCAGTAATGCTTTAGGGATTTTTTCCTTTAACATTTCCTTGAGATTCTAATAAACTTATAGGAGTGTGAGAAAAATATAAAAATTTACGTTCATAAATATATGAATATGAATAGGAATACAGCAATAAGTTGCTGTGAACAATGAATTTTCTTCCTCATTATCACACAGCTTCATTTAAAAATTCATATGAAAATTTACGAGTTTAAAATATGAATATAAATAGTGGATTTAGAAAAATGTTTCTAAATTTTCATTCTTCAAAATCTTGAAATTCAAGCAGTTAGTACTTTATTTATTATAGTGGTACAAGTGGAAGTTTATCTAATTTCGGAAAATTTTTAACAATAAATAATCAGGGAGATAGGTAGGAGCATAGCGAAAAACAAAAAAAAAACGTCAAAATTAACATTTCTTCATTGATTAAAATTAAATATCGAAAATATATACAGATAATATCTAATATTAATAGAAACGAGAAAAAATAGAGTTGATCGTGACAACTCTGTGATATCCATACGAATTTGTTATCCTATGTGCGAGTTATGAATGTCTCATAGCTGACTATGGGACGGACTATGACTTTAAGTTGACATATTACCATATTAATTTATGCAAAATTTCAGTACTGTGTACTTTTTGTGTACAAAATTTCAGTACTTTCAATATTTTCTAAAATATGGCCAAACTACAACAAGGAGGGAGCCAAGAAATTTCAACGATTTTTATCACACAAAACAGCTCTAATTACACACTTATCTTCCCGAAATTTCTATATCATAATTATAATTTTTGAAGTTGTACGGCATAGCTACCAGAAGGAGCCAATCAATTTAAACGACTTTTACCGAACACATTAGCCCTATTAATATATTCGTTTGTGTGAAATTTCAATACCACAGTTTTTGTAACATAAAATTTTAATACCACATATAAATTTTATGAGATATAGCCAAATAAATTTGATTTTGAGATTTTGAAAATTTGGTAAACTAAGCTCAATAGTTTTTTGGTTATTGTTGGGACCGACGGACGGACAGAGAAAGCTAAATCTATATCTCAGAGCATTATTGCTTAGAGTTACAAACGGTAAGGCAAATTTAGTATACCCGAATATACGTTCGTACGGGTATAAAAAAGAGAAACGTAGCATAGGTTATTTCCGTACATTAATTTTTTCTTTGTGGTGACATACCCAGTGAAGTATGAAAAAGCTTTTGCTCCTTCTCCGCTTGAGCAACTGGAAAGAGCTTCACATACAAAGATTTGGGCAATTTTTAAAAGTTTACACCAATTTATGTAGACTCCCGTTTCTGACTATAGCTTAAACCTTATGTCTTTGGACTCCTGAAATTGGTACCAAATTTATGTAACATACAATAAGAATCGCCAAATCAAATTCACTATATAACAGTTTTTAATAATAGTGTACAGCAATTAATTTTTTTTTTTATATTTAAAGTTATATTTAAAGATTAAATATGCTGACATCAAAAACTAAAACAAAAACCAAAAATCAATTTATTTTTATGTATAAAAAAATTCTAAACCTTTTTCTTTACCTTCAATAAGAAAGAATCTCCTTCCTTCCTTTACAATTTCTATTACCCACAAAATATTTTTAAAAATTTCTTCTGTTTTCATGCGATTTTATACTTATTTAAATTTTATATTTGTTTGCAAAATGCTAAATATTTGAAATTTAATAAAAAAGAAAAATAAACTTAAATTGTGCAATTCAAAAATCAAATACAAGATTTGAAGTGTAATCATAGATAAAAATTGTGTTATGATAAATTTTAAGGAGCAAAAAAAATTTAAAAAAAAATTAAAGTACAAAAATGCAAAAATAAATCGGTCATATACTTATAGAATCGCAAACGTACAATAAATTAGTAGTTTTTGTAATTATAAAACAATAGAAGTTTAAAAATAATAAATAAGGCAAGTTGAAACCTATTTTCGCTCAAATCACAATTAATTAATTCAATATTAGTGGAAGAATTCTTCAGAAACTTACAAGGAATGTTACTCTCCTAATTAAATTTCTGCTTTAAAATTTTGTGTTATCACTCGCAAAAGTTTTTCCTTAATTGGAGAACTTTATTTTTGCTTTAAAACTTTTGTGCGCGGAGCTTTATTGAGTAGCATCCTTTTATTTCAATGTTGCCGCCGATATCGATTCAATCCAAAAACATACAACAAATTTGCAATTAACATTCAATTTTTTAAATTTAAGTTAATCACTTATTAATTTAATTAAATTAAATTTGTGATTATAACAAATTTAAAAAATTTAACGTTTATTTGTGAAAAAAAATATTGATGACTTATAGGTAAAAATAAAAATTGAATTACTTACCCATATAATTACGTAACATTATAAAATATTTGTGTAATTTTTCAACTTTGCATTCTGTTGATATTAAAATAAAGTTTAAGTAATGTTGGACACTACGCAAATTAATTTTATTATATATTAGAGTACGTTTACGAAATGGAAAGTCACTGATACCAATACAAATATCAATTTTGCATCGGTTTAGGGTTAACTATCCAAATTAATTTAAACACAATTTGTAAAATTTATAAGATTTCAATGTTAGATCTATCAAAATTTTCGATAAATGAATAGAAAATCAATTGAAATTTTCAACTCTACCGAATCAACGAGTACAATTGTAATTTTTTTCTTTTTAGAAAAGCACTTTGGAATTGTGTACTCTGAAAAAGTTTTAACTAATCTTTAGTTGTTTTAGAAAGCCGAACTAATTTTATTTCAAGTGGACGAATATTTTATTTGCCAGCGCGATTATTTCACACAATATGAAATATTTTTCAATTTTATGTTTACTTAATCATTTTATATTACAAAGAAGTAAAATGCATGAAATTCTGACGAAATTTTTTTAAATATTTTTGTTTATAATTTTTAATAGTCTGGAAAAAAATAAATATGCGGACAAATTCTTTCTGTGCATGCATATACCTTTCCTACCTGAGCCTTCATTTATACTGTAATTATACCATAAACATTTCTTCCCAAATTTTCACATTTGCTTAAGTCAAAATAGGTTGGGAAATAAATTTATTAATGGTCCGATTAAATCCATTATAATATTTAAAATTACTGATACAATTATGGTATAACATTGCAATTATTGTTAGAGTTTATAGTACCAACAGTTTAGCAAAAAGATAAGTATTTCAAGAGAGTAAACTGAAATGTCTATTGACAGGGAGCATCAAAATAGCTAAATAACTAATAAAATACCAGCAATCCCATTTATTTGTGGGTTGCTCGCCAATTGGATCATTACTCAGAACATAATTCTATTTCTGAAACTATCATAACGCGTTAAAAGTAAAATTTTGCAGCTTTGAAAATTATAAACAAATAACATTAGTTACTAACTTTAATAATATTTTTAACTATTTACTACTTATTAAAAAATTAAATCTAAAAAACAAATCAATAGTTTTTAAATTAACAAAAACTACTGAAGTAAATATTTACTAACTTTCATAAGATTTTTAAGTTTTCAAAATTTCATATTTAACAATTATATTACACTTGACACAAATAGTATTCAACAACAAAATTATTTGTACTTGGGAATGAGTGTATCAGTGACGTTTTAATTTAACCCGAGTTCAATTTATGTTAAAACTAAAATATCTCAAATATAAATATTAGTTTGAGCAAAAAATTTGTTTCTACAACAGAATTATACAACATTTCCATTCTTATACTATTGAAATTGTACTCGTATAACTTCATTTAATAATTATTATTGATTTTTCGTGAAATTTGAATTGGAATATCAAAATATGAAATATCAAAAATTGAAAAATATCGTAAAAATACAATATTTAGGCCAAAGTAATCATCTGGACGCTTCTACGCTTTGTATTCCCAAAATTTCCCCAATTTATTTGTAAATATAAGTCTATGCAAATATGAAAGTTAACAAATATCTTTCTACTTAAAAAAACTATCGTGTATAATATTAAAAAAGAAGAATTTTAAGTACAATTGTTTTTAGCAGTCACTTATATAATTGTCAATATCCTTTGAGAAATAAAAGTTTTCAAAATGAAAAAAGGAAAATAAACTGAAGAAAATAAAGACCAAAATTTTCTACAAAAAATTTAACGTAAACCGAAAAAAAGAAACTTATAAAACATTTTTCAAAGGTGAATTTTATATACACACATATACGTATAAAACTTGCATGTATTCGTGTGTGTATATCAAAATATTTATATAAAAGGTGTGTACTGCATATAAAGTTTATTTTTATTATAAAAATAAAGCGAATATCAAGATAAAATATCTACCTTTCTCACTTCCACCATTTTGACTATCTTTTTTTTCTTATTTTAATTTTTTTGCTTCAATATACTTTATCTTTGATTTTAAAAATTTAATAAATTCACGAAAACTTCATTTTTTAATAAAAAAAAAAACAGAATGCTCCAAATATTTGTTTCCGTTTTTTTCCATTGATATTAAATTTTTCACATACAAAAACAAATTCTTTTTCCTTTTTTTTAACTTTTATTCAATTATGAATATTTTTTATTAAAATATTTTTAACATAAAAGGATTTTTTAGATAAACGGGCAAAGTGCATTTAAAATTTTCTATCCTTTTTGTTATTTTGTTTTGTATATTTTTAATTTTATTTTTTTTGTCGTCTTAAATTTGAAAATCTAAACTTTCACTAATACTAAAAACAGATTTTGTTGTTACTCGTTTTGGCATTATAATTTCATTATTTTCAATAGCAGTTGACACTAAACCATTCACTAAATCGTTATCCTTAAATGAAATTTTATTATTTATAAAATTATTATTATTACTATAATTATCGCTTATATTATAACAAGAACTTGAATTTAAATTTTTACTATTAGTTGTTAAATTATTTTTAAAATTATTTATTCGATTACGTTCAGCAACTTGAAATTCTTTAAAATTTTTTTCGTCATTGACTATTGTATGATGCCTAAATTCTACAAGTTTTGGAATTTCTGTAATATTTTGTTGTTGTTGCTGTTGTGCTGCTTTTTGTAAAATATTAATAACAGAATTATTATTTTTAGTAATTAATGTTGGATCAATTATAATTGTTGATGATGATGTACCACCATCAGTAATTGTTGTTGTAGATGTTGTATTCGATGATGGTAATTGTATTCCCTTATCTATAATAGATTTTGCTCCAATAGTTTTTGTTGGTAATTGTATTAATCCAACACCGACACGATCTAATGATAATGTTGATGGATAAACACGATTATGATCTGATGTTGATGAAGATAATTTTGATAAAAAATTTAAATTACGTGTATCACTAATATTTTTATAATCTTTATGTACAAGTATTGGTGTATTCGAACTCAATGAATCTGTTGAAGCAATAATAGAACGTTTTTCTATTGATGAATTTCGAAAATTTTTTAATGATGCTGATAGATTTTTACGAATTTTTTGTTTTTGTTCATGTAGTAAACGATGCTGATGTTCTTCTTGTTGAATTTCTTTTTGTTGTGATATTGATGTATTCGAAAGTATTGGGGCTGTTGAAGATAATGTTGTTGCCGGTATTGAAAAATATGTATCAGTAGAATTTAATTCAGGATTTGAGGATATTTCTAAAGGATCGATAACACTTTCTAAACTGGGTGATGTACAAGATGTTGCAAGTTTGTGTAATGAAAATGTTGAATTTTGTTTATTATTAGTTTGATGCTGTTGTCGTTTTTGTTGTAGTAATTGTTGTTGTTGTTGTTGTTGTTGTTGACACTGTTGCTGCTGTAGTTGTATTTGTTTATTATCAATAATGGTTAAGGTTGAAAGAGATAAAGACGATTTGGATTCTAATAATTTATTTGATAATAGGGTTGAAGAATCTGCTACCACTTTTGATATAGAGCAGCCTTGACTATCATCTAATAAATGTTCATCACTACAACCAAATTGTCGAGCATAAGATTCACGTAATTGATTTACGGTTGATGGTGCTGCGCTATGAATGCATCCTTGTAAAAATTCTAATGCTTCATACAGAATAAAACATAGCCCGAGAACAATGAATGTCTCCATCATATAATAATCAAAGAATCAGCATGTCGTGCTGATTTAATCTTAGTTTTTTTTATTTTTCATTATAGATTTCCAAACATTTTAACCAAACTATTTTATATCTTTTTTCTAAACCACTTTTAGTTTCTTTCAAAGTCAAATTCAACACTAAGATTGTGTCATTTAAACGTTAAAATAAATTATTCTTATGCTGTGAATAGAATATACTTATAAATATACAATTCGAAAAACTATCAATAATTTCTAACAATTAATTTATTATTACTTATTAATTTTAGAAATTAACTATTTCAATAATTAACTATTTTTTATTAAATGCATCCACTAAATTTGTAAAAAATTATCATTTTTACTTTTGAAATTTTATTCCATCAAGCATCTACTTTTCATTCATATTTAATTGAGATTTATAGAAAATACACAAAAGTATATATCAATAAATTAGACGTTATTAATAATGTCAAGCTGAGAGTTTAAAACTGAAACTAATTTTAGAATTGAAAATAAACTCAATGAAAATTTCCTTGCACCTAATTTCCAACCAAACAAAAATCGTTTAAAAATTATTTCCCATTTATCCTTTGTTAAATCATAAAAATCTTTTTGTAAGACTTTAAATTTAACCTGAATTTTATATTGTCATGTTTTCAATTACAATAATCTTTGCTACGAGTATTACTAATAATATTAACAACATTTTCAAGTCCTCATTAACAACATTGTAAAAATTGGTGTTATGCAATTTTTTTGATAAAATTATAATGGACCATGAGTATTTTATGTAATTTTTTTATTATTTCAATAAAATTACTTTATTCAATCACAATTTCGAATGGATTTTTCCAAAATATTGTTGTTAGAATGAAATTATAACTTATTGTTCTTTTTCTCAATTTAATTTCTTTCTTAATTCCCAATAATAAATTTCAAATTCATTATATTAGTCTACAAAAAAAAATCAAAATAAAAACTTATAAAGCCAGATCGAAAATAAAACAAAAATGGTTCTGTTCCGTAAACAATTAAAAAAATTAATCTAATTTTAATTAACAATTTAAAAGCAATAATAATAAATAAAATTTAAGGTTATTACCAAAAATTTTCTAAACCATTTCCAATGTTGCAGATTATTTCAATTTTTAATTTTGTTTATTAAAATAGATTATGTTTTGTGAGATGATTAGTTCACCATTCCATGACATTTTAATTTCAAACAAAAAAAATTTTTTAATATAATTTTTATACAGAACAATAAGTATAACAATAGAATATTGAATCTCCAACAAATAAAAAGCATTTTTAACTTAAAAACCATAAAAGAAATTAATGAATAATAAAATGAAGGTTCTATAATTGCAAATTTGAATTATCAATACTTAAAAAAGATGAAACCAGAACGAAATTTTAGAGTCTAATTTATTTAAAATGAAAATTTATTTTAAAGGTCACGGTATAAACTCGAATTGTATCTAATCTGGATACATACAGAATATGAAACATAAACCAAGTGCTAGAAATACAATGGCAAAAACAGAAGAAAAAAATTATAAAAATAATAAAAAAAATAATAAATAAAACCTTTTGATGAAAATAAAATTGTGAAAATAAAATTAAACGAAACAAAAGCAAAAAATTTCAAGTATTAAAATAGATGAAAAAAAAAAACAAATAATGAAAAAAAAATTCTTTTTTATTAATTTAAAAGCCTCTTTGAGAACACATTTTGTTTTTGTTGTTGCTCTTGTATATCCTTAATATACATGCATATGAGAGTAATAAAAATAATAAAAAATCTTTTTTCTTCTTTATCTTCACAGAACATGATTCCCATCTCCTTTTATCCAAATGAAAAATAAAAAAAACTCCTTACATAATTCTGTTAGACTTTGCAAAAGATGAAAATAATGTGTTCGCAATTAGGAAAGACCAAATCTACCTTACCACCTTACCAATACTATGCTACATTCTTCTTTATAATATTATGACCTCGGAAAAATGTATACAAATGAATATACTATATTATATAAGGAGAAAATGAAAAACAACAGACTTCAGTTTATGTCCTCTTCACTTTTCAACAACAATGGTATACAGAGAAATGATAGGTACTATAAGCATCACATCATATCCTTAAATTCAAAAAATTTTTAATGTTATAAGTCATACAATCGTAAACACAATTCTGAATAATAAAAAAAAAATATATATTTTTGTTTTAAATTTTTCTATGTTTTACTTTTTCTTTTGCTTTTAATTCTATAACATAAAATATTGTATTTTTGCTATAGAGACTTACATACACTGAACTAAATCATTTTTTTATCCTTGAAGCTTCTATATAGTTAGTCCTTAACAGAAGTTTATATTTCAAAATGGTTTTTTGTATAATTTTTTTTTTATAAAATTATCAAATGTGTGAACGATAATGTTCTCTATACCTATATGTATATATATAAACATATATACATATAGGTATAGAGAAAATAGATACAATATAACAAAATAAATATTATTAAATAAATTAAAAACAATGGTCGGAGTGAAATAAAAAATCATGACGAAAGTTAAAAATTGTAACTGAGTTTATTAAAATATTTTTTCGAAAATTTATACTTAAAAGAAAAATTTCCAGTATAAGAAAATTAATATGTATATATTAACGAAAGGGATGATATGCATGTGTATATGTATTTAATAGGGAATGGCAAATAATTTTATCCAAAGCATTGTACCAGCCAATTTTGGTTCAGCTTTTACTTTTAAAGTTTATAAAAAAGTGCTTTTTAGCATTTTTCCAAAAAAGTTTTGAAAAAAGTGCTTTTTAGTTTCTGTCCGCCCGTCCATCAGTCAGTGGACTCGTTTACAAAACTTCTATAGCTTTGAAAATGAAATTTCATAGCATTTTTTTCCACCTTTATCTCCACTTAAGTTATCGTCTCTCGAAATTTATAAAATTTTAATTTTCGGCACCATATATTTCCAAAACTGCAAGATTTTCCAAAATTTCTATAAATACACAGAACTAACGGGAAATGCCATGCCAACAAAAAATAAAATTACTTTTCTTAACTGACATAATTAGTCTTAGAGTTCGAGCGTCATTTTAAATGCATGCAATTTCTCAAATGTTTTGGTATATGAGTAAAAATAATTCTAGTAATGAAGTATTGTTTTTAAAAGCGGTATTTTCACTTGTTTAAGAAAAAAGTGATAATTTGCCAACCAGTGGCTTGACCCAATTTTATTACTTTTGCACTAATAGTATAGTTCATTGCAGTTTTGACAGTTAGTGCAATAGGACCCGCAGGTCCTAAATTACACGATTTTTTTTTATAAAATTCTTTTGATAAATATAAGTATTGATAAAAATTGTTAAAAATATTTCGATATTACAAATAATTTCGGATATATCATGGTTGTTAGATTGGAAATAGCTTTTATTTACGTATATTTGTTGTAAAATTAAAATCAAAAAATTTTTCTACCGTTTGGACCAATTACTATTGTATTTGGAGATATTTTTAAAATATTAACTTCAACTTTATCACACATTTGATTTATCTTAATTAATCATGTTAGAACATGTTACTTTTAATGTGATTTAGAAATTTTTTTAAGTATTTGTCTAATTTTAGTCAATTTTACTGAATAATATAGAGTGGAACATCATAAAATCAAATTTTCATAAGTACATAACAATGACTTATTCAAACAAAAATTTATAAGTTTTGACTGTTGAGACGAAGTACTGTAAGCGTTGAGCTACTATAAAAATTTATAAAATTCTTTAGTAAAACTCTATTATTTGAAATTTCTAATAGAGTGAAGAAGTGTAGGTGGCCTAGTGTGATGTAAAAAGAAAAGAAGCATATTTGATATAGTTAAATCATAATATTGTGATTTTTACTCCTTCCTATTTTAAATAAGTTTTAAATCATAATAAAAATTTGTGACAATTTTTTTTATTTCTCTGAAAGCAAATCTAATGGGGTTTATTTATTTATTTTGTTAATATATGAAGTATGCATGTACAATACATACATACATATCTATGTACGTTCTAAAGGTATAATATTTTGTGAATGGCATAGCACATTTAACCCACAGTAAATAAAACTTTACTATTTCAGAAAATAAAAAACAAAAATAAATTGTGTTTTTTTAACTTTTGATATTTACTTTCAGTGACATTTTGAACGGATTTCCCGTCAGAATCCGGACGTCTGGACTATTGTGTACGTATAAAACTAAGACATACATTCACATACATATAAAAATGCCAGTTTAAAAAAAAACATTAAACAAACTTCAATTTTTCACAAACAATTGTTGTAGAGAAATTGGAACTTTTAGTGTATTGACTTGTTATAAGCTTTCTCGAAATTTCTATACGGAACTTCAATAAAAATTCAAATCTGTATTTCTTCACATTTGCGAAATAAAATAAATGTGAGATGTAAATTTACATAAATTGCTAGGTTTTATTTTTAACATTGCTGGATTATTGGTAAACTAATTTATGTTCACCTGAAATTGACTTATAAACTTCATTATATTTCCTTATTCTTTCATGAAATGTCTAAATTTACATAATCTGAATTTCATAAATAAAAATGAGTCAAAAATTATTCAAAATTTCATATTAAGTCCAATTGTGGGTAAATAATTATTTTTACAAAATAACAATTCTAGTAATTTGAGTAAAAATGGTGTGACTAATATTGTTAAATTTTAAAGCAACTTAATGAATGAGACTGAGAAGACAAAAAATTTCTGCAGATAATACAACTATTTTTCAAAAGTTTCAGTGTAAAAGCTGCAGTATTGACACAATTATTAAGATAAACTTTTCTAAATAAAATCCCACACTTATTCCCAGGAATTCAGCAAAATCACTTTAGATCTTAATTTGAGGTAATAAGTACATGGTAGTTGACATAATATTTGTTTATGTTGCATGTACTTCATGTATTTGGAAAAAGTAAAAAAAGAACGAAACCTGGCAAAAGAAAACTAACGGAGGGCGGGGTAGAACAACTTTTCGTGCCCTCATGTAGCGTCCATTTATAAAGTTAATTTTGTTTTATTGATGGTATTTGTTCGTACATATTGCTCTAATTTGAATTTGTTTAATTAAGCATTCTGTTATGATAAATGTGCGGTAGAATAATACGAAAATGAAAATTTAAT